TTATCTATTTTGTAAAGTGCCAGACTCATATAGTGTTACAAAAATTAAGCAACTGCTTCAAGGAGCCATAATACAATGCAGTCGATATTTAAATTTTATCTTATTTTTGTCTAAATGAAACCTCCTCTATTGCATCAGTTAAACAGATGTTCTGTTCAAAGTGCTCTCTGGCAAACTTACATTTGTAATCTTCTGGTCCATGTCAACCCCACAGCCCTACAGATGCTGGCTACTCATCAATACAACCTCATAAAGGGAAAGAAAAGTTAACTTCCCACAAAGGGCTTTTCAATAATGAATTCTACTTGTCCATTTGTGGAGCTACCTGGAGAAGGAGAAATGGTATAAAGGAGCTCCCTACCACAGGTGCTTCAAACCCCTGTGTTATACCAAAGGGTCTACCCAACTTGAGAAGGGAGCTGGTTGATTCTGCAGGCAGATCATGGGGCTGGCTGCTACCTTTGAGAGCATATCATGGCTGGACTCTCCCATACCTCTGACTGCCCAAGAGGCTCCAGTGGCCTGGCCCCTTGCCACCAATGAGTGGAGAGGGGTGGGACCACATGACAGGCAACGTTCTTAGCCAATCAGCAGCGAGGAGTGGGGGCAGCAGCCATCTTGGGCTTCCCTGTGTGCCAGCAGCTCCTAAACCCTGCCTGCATGGCCGGACCATAGCATTGTAAGGACTGCTGGTTCAGGTCTGGGGAGCCATTTTATTTTCAGTAAGTTTTCTTTTTTTCCCCCCATGGATTTCATGGACATTGCTCGCTTTTGTGGGCAATGCCAGATTTCATGTTTTCTCCCAAGTCCACAAGATTGCAATTTCGATGGGTCCCTACTTATACCTAGAGGTTACTCCAGCCTGTATAGCTTTCAAGAGCAAAATAAAAGAGCAAGCTTTGAACTTTAGCCATATAACCCTGCTCTCCCCCCAAACAAGCTTGTTAGTAGAGGTGACAAAAGGGGAGAGTACTCCTGGTCACTCCATTTGATGGAAAGCGATACTGCAGGGACGGGCAATTATTTCAGGCGGAGGGCCGCTTACTGAGTTTTGGCAAGGCATCAACGGCTGCATGACAGGCAGCCAGGGGCACATAAATATTATTTTAAAAAAATTTTTAGGGGCCCCACAGGCCAGACAGAATGGCTTGGCGTGCTGCATCCGGCCCACGGGTCGCATTTTGTCCATGCCTGCGATAGAGTGCTTTCTTGTTCTAGCTCTCCAGGGAAGAATGGGATTGCAATATTACTCATGCCACAAAAGCAACAAACCTCCTCACCAACAATTTCCAATCACTTTTTGTTTCTAAGTATTTTGCCCTGCTAGACATTTCTCCTCTGCAGAGAAAAAGATGCAGCAATATAATATGAGTGAAGGCTCATACCTCGGGTGTCTTCATGTTTTGTACATTTAGTCAGTGTTTTCTGTCCAAGACTAAATTTTAAATTCATGTTAGTTAAAAAAAAAAAAAAAGGAGTCAACACCCATTATTGACTCAGTCTGCTGTGATTTCCTTTTGGTCACCAGTGATGTTTTTAATTAAGCATTTAAAGACCTGTCTTACCTGAAATTTTATACTATGTATTTAAGCAAAAATATATGCTACAAATGTGAAAACAAAAAAGAGGGAAGGGGAAGTAAATGGGCTTATAAATTAGAATCATACCATAATTCTGTTGATAATGTAACAGAACAGGAAAGGTATGGAAAGCGGACATTTCTCTCTAACACAGTCTTGACATGTAAATAAAGACATCTGAAGAAGCACACAGGTTTGAAGCTTCTGTAACATTCTATCATAATTAGAAACATTTCAAGAGCCCTGTAATTTCCAATCAAAATTACAGTAATTTCCGATATACAAGCCATGATTCATGACAGAATTTTACATTCCATGGGAGATTATAGTGGCCTGATGTATGACACACTGAGTACAGTGCTAACATAAACAATTCAGTTTAATGTTTAAACAGCACTTGGTGTTTAGAATCCCACAATAAAAGAAACATATTATTGTAGAAATTATCACTTTGACAGTGATTGAAGGGTAGGCAGGCATGTGGCCTATAAAGCTATAATTTTTACAGTCCACAGCTTGAGTTTAATCATTTTGATAAAACATTTCCAAAATATCCCTTTAAGTATTCCTTAAAGCATGTAACTTAAGAGAGAGAACATCCTTTCTTTACAATGAAACATAGCAAGTCCTGAACGTAAATGCTGTCAAAGTTCAATAATTTTACAAGAAGTTGCACTGCAATACTGATAACTCAGATAATCATTCATAAATCTGACCCTATTTTATCAGCAATATAATAATTAAAAAAAAGAACAGCAGACTTAAATAAAATACAAAAAACCAAAAATCTGACATACTGGGCTGAGATACATCTATATCTTCTCTTTATATTTCTTTGGAAGGTTGGCAACAGGACAGCGCTACACTCATTTTACATCTGCAGTGTTTACTGGGTGCACTGTCATTTGAATTTTGGTTTTGAATACACTAAAGCAGTTTGAGAGAAGCCTGCTTGAACTTACATAGCCAAATAGCTACCTTATTACTCTGAAATAAGTAATCTTAATTTTGCTTTAGAAATATGGGTTTCTTCATTTGCTATTTTCTGCTTAAAAAAACAAAACAAAAAAGAATCTGTACCACACAGTTGCATGCCTGTTTCCCAAAGGTTCATTTCTGACACTTCTTTAGCAGCTGTAAGGTCTGGACTAACCATCCTCCAAAAATGAAATCCTGACTTCTCTAGTTAAAGAACCTATTAAAGCCACACAATGCTGCAGCATTATATATAGCTCACAGCATTTACTCATTCACAACAGCTATGAATTAGTGAAACTGATACTTTTTGAACCTGGTAGGTTCAGACCTTTTGGCAGGCAAGGACATCTTATTGATGGACATAGTGGCCATGTCCAGACATGCATGGAATTTTGGTTCCCCAGGGACAACCAGCGGTGGCACACCTTGCGCTGCTGCTATTTGTCCCCGGGGAATACCCATGCCATGAGCGCTCTGGTGCATGACAAGTTACCTTAGGTGGGGTAGGGGAAGCTTGGACCACCATTGGACTGGCCCCAGCAGCCTTAACTGGGGTCCTGGGGGCCTCCTGGGGTTGCAGCAGCGGCAATACTGCTGCATTGACCTTGGCCAGCATTGGAGCGCAGCTCCAGCTACCCAGGCTTAAAAGGCTACCTAGCCTAAGACTTCCCTGTCCAGAAGATCTTACAATTAACTAATAAGAGGGGAAATGAAGTCTAAGAAATTCAAGTGCTCAAGATCAAGAAGCAGGTCAGTGGCAGTGCTGGGAGTAAACCCAGTGCAAAGCCATTGTCCCATATGACTTCATCCATTCACATATATGCTCCAGATAAATACATTCCCTCCTGTTCTGTGCTTTCTATTTAGACCTGTTCACTCCATACACATTCTGCATAAAAATCTCCCCAGCAGGGTCCCACATAGTTTATGAGCAGTTCTAAATTGATCTGAAGGATGAATATATACCATTTACTTGAGGGGAGGCAATTATTTCAGCTGGAGGGCCGCTTCATGAGTTTTGGTAAGCTGTTGAGGGCTGAAAGGGTAGCCCTGCTCCTTTATAGGTGCACCTCCCCCCAGGTCACCATCTTGGTACCTGATATCTCACCCCAAACCCCTGACCTTTGTCACTGGAAGTCCCTGCCCTTGCCCCAGAAGTACTCCTTTTGGGAAGGGGGTTTGCCATCTTGGAACCAGGAAAAAAACCCCAAATTATATACTAAAAATCTAACATCCACAACAACATAGGTTAATGTTTTAAAAGATTTTTTTTTCCTGATTTGTATGCGTTTGCATCGTGTATAAAGACGTGATTGCATAATAGCTCAAAATGAAGTCTTATGCTAATATATTGCGGTGTGGTGGGTGTGAAGGTATGTGTGGATGTGGATGGGTATGTGGTTTGTGGGCAGTGTGGAAGGGGAGGGTAACTGCAGGTGTGTGTGGGGGGTGTGGGTGTGGTGGGCTTTGTCCTGGCAGTAGTGAGCAGGGCTCCCCCCAGAGACCCATGGGTGTGTGTGTGTGGCAGAGGCGGGGTGCGTGTGAGGATGTGGTGTTTGTGGGGTGTGTGATTGTGTGTCGGGAGTGTGGTTGTGGAGGAGGGTTTGTGGGTATGGTGGGGTGTGCATGGGAGCCCTTAGCATGCACCCCTCTGAGCCGGTCAGCACCTGCCCCTGACCCACAACAGCCCAGAGCCTGTGTGGCCTGCAGCAACTCTCCATGACTGCCAGCAGCATGCAGCCCCAGCGCACCCTATGCATGCTCCAGACTGACCCCGGCAGGAGTGGATCAGCCACACGTGTGCATAGCCCTGACCCAGCCCCACACCTGCTCTGCACCGCCAGCCCGTGGTGAGTCCTGCCCCCCCCAGGCATGCAGTGGGGCTGGGGTGGTTCCGCGCTGGACTGCCTTTCTAGGCTGCCCAGTGCTTCCTGTGGCAACTGTGCAGAGCCTGCGCTAGGCTGCACTGAGCTGTCCCTGTTGCCTCTGGGCTGCCCCACAGGGCAGCAGGGGCAGTGCAGAGGAAGTGCAGGGCAGTGCTGAGAGGGAGGGGTCGCTTTTCTGCCATGCCAAACACACTTCTGGCCCACTGGTGCTGCAGCTGTTCAGCGTGAGCAGACAAGTCTGCAACAGGCGTGGGGCAGGTTGGGGCAGTGCATGGGTCCCCGCCCGTACCGCAGGGCTGGGGCCAGCAGTTGCTGCCTCCTGTGCTGCCTTCAAAGGCAGTTCAGCACAGAACTGCCCTAGCCCCACTGTGTGCCAGGGGGTGGCAGGAGACGTCACCGTAGGATGATGCCTGGACCAGGCAGGACCAAGGGACCTGCCATGGACTGGACAAAGCCCCTCCGCAGGCCGAACATGGCCCATGCACTGTATTTTGCCCACCCAATTTACTTCGATATAGGGGCTTGCAACAAACCGACTTTGACCAACTTAATTTACCTTCTGGTGCTGGGGAAGAACTCTCCTCCATCCATTTGAGTGTAGTGTTATGCATACGGGTGGGTTCTTCCTTGTTGGAACTTTCTTGAATGGGTTCCACTTCCCTGTCCCCTTGTTCTATAAGAGAATTATCTCTAGAATTTAGATTCCTTTGGTGCCTCTCTGAAATCAGGTCTGAGTATTAGCAAGACATGACACCTTGCAACCTTGTAAGGTTATTCCTCATTTGACTTAAGTGTGTGCATGCCTGGCTAATCTGCCACTATGTCCGCTTCTCCATTTTCTTTTCTGCAGCGTTTTCTGATCCCTGGATATCCAGGCATCAAAAAACTCCTCCACGCTGCTTGCTTGCAGTGGGGAGAACTGAACATGTGGTATGTGATGCCACAGACATATCTGCAGCACCAGATACCACATCACTGTGTTTGTCTGGACATGGCCAATATGTTTTATGCAGTTGTTTTTTCAATTCTGGCAGAAAAAACATGGCCACAAGTTTACCTTAGGACTTAGTAATGAGGTGTAGATTGTCATACAATTCATGTAAATGGTTATGCTATTCATGTGTTGCCATGCTAACACAACCAACCACTGAATTCATATAGAAAACAGAAAAAAAATGCAAAAAGCATGTATTAAAAGTGAAACTACCAATGACTTTTCAGTCCTTACCTGGCTTTTGGTTGCCGCAACCTTTGCAAATAGTGCTTGAGACACTTTAGCTCTCTTCATTTCCTGCT